TTAATTAAAACAGGGATTAACAGATGATACTGAGCTACTGCAGTTTCAACTGAAGCTTGAAATATCAAAATTTTAAGCAGAATTTTATAGATTCTCCGACTGACTTGAATCTTTCATAACATGTTTCCTCGGTACATTTGAACATCCGCTCCTCGGCATGCGCCAAATAGAGATGCTGACGTAGCGACGACAGCGAGCAGTAATATTTACCGCACACTGTGCACATTTCACGTGCATTTCCAATGTCTTCATGTATTTTCAGATGCTGATAGAGGGTCGATTTGACGCGAAACGAACGCTCGCAAATACCGCATGAATATGGTTTTTCGCCTAAAACAGTTGGGGGACTTTATATTATTAAATTTGAATTTATCTCCCCATTCCACAGGAATATATGCCCGAAAACTGTTCAAAAAATAACACACTGTTGACTGCAACCACACGCTGGTATGCTTGTCAATGGTTTCTTCAAACATTCCAGAGGCTACCCATTCAAAGAATGAAATTATCTGATTTTCTTACACATAAACACCGACTTCGGCACGAATTGAAAGGTGAAGCCGCCTTTACACCAAAAGGAAAGAAATCCTATTTTTGAAATACCATCAAAGTAAATTTCACCCTCTCCCCCCCCTCCCCCTTCCCCGCCCTCTCACCCCCCTCTCTTCCTTCCGTCCTCTCAAACTACTGAAGTACAATAACTTTGGATTACCTGTATGAACTCGCTTGTGTCGCACCAAGTCTGATGGCTTTTTGAAACTTCGATCACATACATCACATGAGTGAGTTTTCTGAAAAGAAAAAATAATAAAGGCGCAATAGCTGATAAGAATATGAAAGTGTTCATTATCAATGATGAGGATAACTTGACTGTTCACAAGCTGAAAGTTTCAAAATCAAGAAACTGGAGAAATTGCCAGCTGCACCGATGACAAGAATGAACAAAAGTGGAGCGCCAGCTGTGAACAAAATCTCCAGGTGTGGAAATTCCATGTGTAAAAACGAAGATTATCACCGATAACCATGGAAATTCCCCAACAAAATGCCTTCGGAAGCAAAAATGAAATTCTACGACTGTTCATTCTTCATCATTCATCCACTCAAAAGTCCTTAATTTATCGATCTTCTAGTTATCACCATCATTCGCTGATCAAATTCATTTCATTCTGGGCAGCCATTTGTTTTCTTATAATTCTATTACAGACCTGTGCAGTTATATTCAAACTGTTGGGGGGTTTTTTAACGAAAAATCAAGATTCCTTCGTTTTAGATCAAAAATATGCACATACACGCATACATCCTTATTATAATTCCTTCCCACTACAATTTTACTCAAATCAAATCAAAATCAATTGAACCATGGCATCAACCTGTCGCTCTTTTTCCATATAACTATCTCCGTGTGAGAAATTCCTCTCGTCCTGTTGATTCTGCAAAATAGGTAAATTAATATCATTTCACTCGAAAACTTTCATGTGTTTTCTTTCCAGAAAAAAAAAGACGAACAAAAAACAAGTTATAAATTTTTATATACAAATGACACACATTAAACATAGCTACTGAACAGAAATCAAAACCGAATAATTGGAACCAAAAACAATTAAAAAAGGGAAAATTCAACGGAAGTCTCTTCAAATGTAAAAATAAAAATACTAAAGAAGCTGAGAGAATGAACGAAAACTTACTACTCGATGGAATGCACATAAATGATCAGCCAGGGCAACACAGCCACTAAAACTTTTTGAGCAAAGAACACAGGATATCACTGGCAGGCTATGCATCGCATCCTCGGCCATATTATACAAATGTGTTGATAGCGAAGCATCTGCAATCAATGGAAATTCACTAATTACTCTAAAAAGAAGCATTTCATAAGGCTTTGGTCATTTCAAGACTTCTATTTCTCCTATCATACTTCGTTCACTAATTCCAACCCAAATTAAAAATTAAGGATTTTGGCCATGCCGTATTTAGCATGGTTCAGACTTGCTGCTGATTCAGAAATTATGCTTCGGCCTACCAAGGTTGCAAAAAAGTTTTTCTTATGAATTTAACCCACTTCGGCCGCCCCACTTGGATCGTCCATTTCTGGCTCGGTCTTTGAATGGCCGCT